AAAGTCCTTGGCCAGTGTAAGCACTACCCTAGCAACACTAAAACATCGGTGCCTTATCAATTTTGTTCTCATCCTAAATCCAAAACACAGCACTGTACCAGCTACTAGGAAGGAAATTAACTCCATCCCTGCCGAAACCAGGACACTCATACAAGCCAAAGCAGTATGATGAACATCCTGTAATCTGGCTCATTTTGGCCTACATCTTTCCTGAGAGGGCCTCTGACATCCCCCTCTGAATGTCTTATTCCATTGTAGGGTGACTCTGATAGAGCAGCACGAGGGCACCAGGGTCTGCTTATTACTTTGTCGATAGAGTACGGACGGTGAGGTGAGACTGCCTGTGGAACTTTTTCAGATGTGGTATCTCAGCACATCGCTTATGCTTAAGTGAGGTTACAAGTCAACAGCGGCTCAAGCTGCTTGAAGAGCCATCAGGACAGGTTATATTCCCCTTTCGCTCTTCCTCACACTTATCCTGTGACCTCTGGATCCTCTGCTTCATAAATTCAACTATACTGGCAGAAGATTAACATGGCAAATCCCATCTTTCTTGCAGAGGTGAACTGAACAGCTCAACAAAGAGCACCAGCATCAGCACAGGGGTTGGAGGAAGGGGGCAACTTCCCTGTCAGCCCTTCAGCCACTGCAAATTTTTGGACTGGCTCAGGGATGCCAGGTAACTTCTCTTGTAAGTCTGGTCCTTGTTCTCTGTTCTTAATGCCAGCCTGTCTGGAGTTCCTCGGGACCAAAGAAAGTATAGGTTGTTTTCCCCTGTTAAAAAATGTCAGTCCCTGAACACCAAAATAGAGCATTTCTATTTGGAGACAGGAACTTGACACCTGGCAGTGTGTCCCCTTCGGTCCAGAGTTACCTTGTGAAAATCTGCCCATGTTGGGCCAGCATATTAACCTTTGAAAAGTCAATAGTTGTAAACACATTATAGGATGTTCAATGGGATTTGCAAGGTTTCTAACAGTTAAGAATCTCTGAAGAATCTGCACTAACTGAGTATGCTCTGAGCCTCTCACAACATGGATTTTTCTGGGAAATTTTGGTCTAAATAAGGCAGTTTTAGGAGTGAGATTAGAGGGAGGATACAGCCAAGCAGTGAGGAAAAAACGGGTAAAGCTGCTTAAATTAAATAGCTGACAGCTGTCTTCTGAATAGAAATTTTAGGCTGTCTGAAAAGCAGAGGAGATGATATCAGTTTCAGGTATACTTTAATACTTTATCCCTCACTGATGTGGAAGCAAGTTTCAGGATCAGCATTTTGTGGAATTTTCCGTCAGAAAAGGCTTTTATTTTTTTGCTCAAATTCAGGATGAAAAGAAGGGCTGGAATGGCCCTGCCCATTTTTCTATCACCCTGTGTGCAAGATGTTGCTGGCTGGCTGTACCACCATCCCTCTGGGCACAGGAATGTGGCTTTGGCAGGGGGGCTGGGTACAACTTCTGGAGGAGAACAGCCCCCCTGCAGACTGCCCCATGCTGCCTGGCAGCAGCTGTCAGTGGGCGAAGGGTTGGTTGCTTTTCCTTTGGTTTATCTAGCTCTTGCTCTCCAAACTGGAAGTACCTTGGCTGCCAGGAGCAGCAGAGACTTACTTGCTTTTTCCACGCAAATCATGAGACTGGGGTTGGTGGATCTGCTTCATGATGGAGGGTCTCAGCTGGTTTGTCCGTTCGATAGGGCAGCTCCCTTGGCAGGTCCATGGAGGGCTCTGGGAACAGATGAATAAAGACGTGTGATACAGCGTCTAGAGGGCACAGAGGTGTCCCAGTGCCCTGGCACCCCATAAACACAGCCAGCCTGATTTCTGTTCCTCTGAGCAGCGCTGCTCGCACATATCCTTCTAAAATAGGGCAATAATGCTGCAGACCTTTAACCTGTCTTCCAGTAAGAAAGAGATTGTAAACCAAGCAATGATAATATATAGTACGATAGCAGTTTATGACGCTTCAGCAGGTGAACCTGTTTACCATGAATACTTTTCTGTGGGAAGGAAATAGTGCTATATCCCCAGACAGGCCTTCCCCTGCAGTGTCATCATGTCAAATACTATACTTTTTGTTTTTAATAAGAGCACAGATATTTTCTTTTATCTCAGAAGTGCCTTGCTCAAATGATCTCAAATTCAGGCCACCGGGATTTCTACAGAAATTTTTGAGCAAGCTGGAATAAATTTACAGATTGTAGAACAATGTAAAACGGGACTGCTGAGTCCAAGTTTGGCTTGCAGTGTCACTGACCTAGTATTCCCACTCTTGTAAAATAGTGGATGTAGCCACCTGACTCCAGACCACTTCTCCTTATCTGTGCTGGGTCCAGTGCTTTAGCTGGAAAATGCCAAATACACCATTTCAATGGGAGCTAAACCCTGTAGCTGCAGGCAGAGTAGTTTACAGAGGCTTGTAGAGCTTAAACACAGCAGGATTCCATGCATTATGTATGGATCAGCCCTCTGGAATTGCACATGCACGTAAGTTATGCCTGTACGAAAACAGTCATTTAAAACCTCCTTTTTCCCCACCTCTTGGAGCTGACTTGCGTTAAATATTAACAAACTTGGTTCATCAATTCCCTGGTTCACTTGGCTTCTTTTAACAACAGATGTTATTACAACAACTTCTCTGCCTGCCTCCCCGCTCCTGTCAGCACACCTGATGGTGAAACCCAAGAATCTGCTCCCGTAACTCTGCCTGCAGAGCCTGGCTGCTGCCCTGGCCGTGTGGTCTCCCCCACCTCTCTCCCTGGGATCACCAATGCCTTTGGCGTCTGTGAATAGCTTGTGCTGTGAGCCAGTAGCTGCAGAGAGGTGTTGGTTAAAGGAGACAGAGAAAAGGAGTGAGGGAGTTCCTGCTGTTAGAGGAGGAGGAGAAGGAGGAAGCGGTGAGCATGGCCAGCCACTCCAGCGCACTGCCCCGGGTGACTTTCCAGACGCCAGAGAAAACTGGGGAGGAATCATCACACAGGAAACTGGGCAAGTTAACTATAAAGTACAACCGCAAAGACCTACAGCGCTGGCTAGACCTGGAGGAATGGATCAACACCCAGCTGCAGGAGCTGTACCAATGCCGGGTGAGTAGCTGGGGCAAATCAGCCCCTCACTCGTCAGGTGAACGGGACTAGAGGCCCCATGTGCTGGGACAGAAGTTTGCTTGCTCTGCCTTGCTGGAAATACCTTCTCACCTTCAGTCTTCATTAGGTATCTCATTGCCACCTGCTACGGCACTCTCTCTGACTGGTGTGCCTGCAGTTGGAGAAGCTTGCACCAATATAATCCAAATAGGTTTAAACTCTCTGGTCTTACACCTGCTGGGGGGGTGTAGCTATTGCTCAGCACGAGTGCAGAACCTAGAGAGATGTACAAACCCAGGGTGATTCTTGTTGCTGAGCTCCATGTGGTGAGTGGCTTTGCTGCAAGCAGTATCTAAACTAGCTGGGTTAGAGTTATCAGTGTATCCTTGTTCCTTTGGTCACAACAGTGTAGCTATAGCTGCTGTTTGAATGAGACACTCCGGATAATGCCGTATCTGTAGCTGCCGAGTCTGGACACACTACTGGCAGCAGGGAAAAAAAAAAACAAAAACAAAAACATTCTCAAATGTAGAGATCTTATGCCTTCACCTTCACAAATCCCCAGAGCTGTCTTCCTTGCCTGAGATTCCCTTTGCACCAGGAACAGTCCCTCCTAAATTCTTCCCGCCTGTCTGAGAGCTGTCCCACTAAGAAAGATCCAGGAGTGCCTAGGTCCAGCACCTGAATGGTACCAGTCTTTACTTGAGATGTTGCAGGGTACGTGACATTTTTTCTTAAGGGTGGTGTGGCATTTAAATCAAGTTCCAGCACTGGCTGGGTACACTGAAATTTTAACCTGGTAGTATCGCTTCTATTCATATTTTGTGCTTGGATGGCACTTACACTGGGAGCTTTCAGAAGGGATAGTGCTTTTCCATGTTTGAGATAATTCCTTTGGAGTGTGGTACAGGAAAAGGTGAAAGGATTTCCCATATTGTACATCATGGTCTTAAACCCATTTAAACAGCTTGACTAAGGGTTTTGCTTTTTTCTGTAGGGCAATGGCTGATGCAGTAAGAGAACATAGCTTTCTTGACTCACAAGCCAGTACATCTTCAACAGAAGACATAGATGGGTTTAACAAATTGTGTAATAGAGCTTATTCATGTCCTGGATGGGGACAGACTAAATGAACTGTCAAGCCCTTTCTGCCCTGTTTTCTGTATTTGCACCCCAGCATAGTGTTAAGCACATTTTTGAGATACAAGGAAAAAAGAGCTGATGATTGCTTAGAGTCTTCCACTCTGAGCATCAGCAGTTTCAAATTGCAATCAACAGTGGAAGTGCACATGTTAGAACAGCCCAGGAAAAGTTATTTTTGTGCTATATGCCATGATGGTACAGAGAAGCTTTTGCCTGCCCAGGCTGATTTTCTGGGCCTGAGAGCCATAGAACAATGTTAGCTCCATGGCTGAAGAGCCAAACTTCAGGAACTGTCTCTGAGGCTGTCTTTATTATTGTTGTTGCTGTTGTTGTTTATTATTATTATTATCATCATCATTATTATCATCATTTTCTGCGTGGCTGTTTCTTATTTGATATTTGTGGGAATGTACCAGGTACATTTCTGGGAGAGAAAAATAGTTAGCTTCTGTTCTAATTTATGCCATATGCAAAGAACATGCAGCAGAAAACAAATACAGAGAAGAAGGTCTTTCCTTCTGTCACAAATGCTTGGCTCCTCTGAAAATGAGTACATTATTGCCTCTGGTTTGTTAATTAACATTCTTAGACTTCCCAAACAATTTTATAGCTTGTTTAGTAAAAATGACAAAGGATAAAAGCTCATAATCTCTTCAAGACTTAATTGTGAATTTCCAGTTGTTTTCTATAGTTTATGAAATGATAGTAATAAATTCTCAGCTGTATCTTAGGCCTCTTGATAATGCATTATGAAACATTATATAGTGTCCATAGGAGCAGATGTTATCGTTAGACTTAGTCAGACGGGCAAAATTCAGCGTGTTTGTGAAGTGCTAGAGGGGTGGTCCTGGTGAGTGAAGGCTGTTCAAAAGAACAGCGGCAGTGACGGTGTCGCTTGCTAACCATGCCTGCACTGGCATTTAAGGGACTGTCCCTGGGGTTGGTAGCTCAGTTCAGAGAGCCCTTAGCCTGACTGTTGAGATTTGCCAGAGATAAGCAAGGAGAATGGCTGCTGCTTTGCGTAACAGAACGTCGTGCCCTTTGGGGAATTACTGCAGTTTTAAAGAGAAGGTTTGGGTTTTTTTTTTTTAGATAGATGAGAAGCACTTGGTACCACCAGCAACATGACCCAAGATAAGGCTCCCTGTGTGCTACTCTTACTTGCCCAAATCTACAGATGTACACTTGTAAAGGTGTCAGAAAAACAAGCCAGGTTACGTTATCACTTCTGGTTTTCTGAGAATTAGGAGCTGTTTACTGTCACCAGAGTAGCTGCCCAAAGGGGATATTTTTTCCCTACTACAAAATCCCAGCAGGCACGAGTGAGAAATCCAGCGATGTCCTTACAGGAACAGATTGCCAGTGGATTGCCTTTGTTAGCACCTCTCCAGCACAATTCCCGACTTCCTGGTGTATTTGGGCCAACCTAAGAGATTTGCTACCAGGAACTGCATAACATGATGCTGTGCCAGGTCAGAGACTCTTGGTAGGGTACAACAGGGGGTTACACAGGATCTTTTCAAATAAGTACATGTGCCACAGTAAATTACTTGTAATCCCCCAGGTGTCCAGCAGGTCCTCCTGCTCTCCTCTGTGCATTGTGGCAAGACTATTTAGTTAGCCCTGCTAGTCTGGGCTTCCTTGGATCCATCGGCTTCCATTACATTGTCTCTTTGTCAGCTTCTTCCTTTGCTCCACCTGCCCTTGGCAGTGCAGTGGTCCTCAGCATCTGCCAGAAACCCGTGTGACAGAGTCAGAATAAACAGCATTGCAGATTCAAATGCCAGGAAAGTTAGTTCAAACATCGCCTCCTGATACAGATAATCTGAATGCTATGCTATTTACTATCATGAGGCTTTTTGCAACAAAACTAAGACTCGGGAGACAATTTTGATTTTCAAGATGATTCCCTGCACGTGGAAGCCAGAACACCATCCATACTAGGACCAGAAAGCCATAGGGAGTTCCTACCCTGTCTCACCCTCCTGGCCTATTTAGCTTCTTAGCCAGAGACAAAGTCAGGCTGGATCAACACCTGTTGTCTAAACAATCATGTGCAAACTATTGCTTTTAAGAAGAAATGCTGTGTGGGTCACAGTACAATATATTTAACTCTGTTTTATTATTTATTGTTAAGTCAGCTGCATAACAAAGCTGAACAAATGTTTTCTACTTCCTCTCTGGCGTGGTATCAAGAGATTGCTCAGAACAAGTTTCTTTTTTTCCCGTAAATATTGCCTTTATTGTTTAATGTTTTACATACACATCCATAAATGTTACCCAGCAATCAGGTACCGTGCTGTTTACTCAGTATCCTTATTCTGCTGATTACTATGTTCAAATATCACTAGTGTTGTGTTGTCAAAGACTCATTTTGCAAATACATTGGAAACCACAGCCTGCTTTCCTTACAGTCTTGTAGAGACATGTGGAGCTAAAATGTGTCTGTGATCGAGTTTACAAACGTTTCCAGCTAACACCCCCATACATTACAAGATTATTACTCCAATCACCAAAGCTTGAGGTCTCTCTTACACTAAAGGAGACTATTATATCCCTCTCATGTCTGTAAGAGAAAGCTGCCAAAATATTGTTAGGCCTTTCAAAAGCATAATTGTTTTTCTCTCCATTACTGCAAAAAGCCTTGGCGTAAATACCAACTATGTCAATGTATTTAGCCTAAAAACCTAAAATCTCCTTGTATTACTTGTGCCTCTCTAAGATTAAGCCTGCTGGATTTCTGTTTGGTGAACACTTGCGCACACTCTTCATAGATGAGGGCTGCCCTAGGCTGCCTTACATTTTTTGCACTGCAGCTGGCAACTGCAGTTGGATATTCTTGAAAGGGTTTTCCCATGATGGATGACAATCCCTGAGCAGTGGTATCAAGTGTTGAGGTGGGAAAAGATGAAGAATGTGTACATCAGGATGTGCGGCTGTAGGAGACACCACAGAAGGGCTGGAATCCACGCCCTCTTTATAAGATCCTCCTTATTTTGAGATGATTTATATCTTGACCTCAACTTTGCAGCATAGTTTTATTGTAACTAGTTCCTTCTCAGCTGCTCAGTTCTTTAAAGATGGCCTCTAGAGCTCGTAGAAGTTTGAAGGTTTATTAACTGTGTATTTTTTATTGTTTTTTTAGCTAAGAGAGGAAACAGAGGCAGCAACTCCTGAACCACAAATTGATCTTGAAGATCTCCTGGAGGTCCCTAATGAAGAACAGAAATTAAAACTACAGGTCAGATAGAGGGACTTGGTGATTTTAAGTTAGGGACTCCCTTCATAAAGAGAAGTAGTGGTGTGTGGGGTACAGAATATACGTATACAGTGTTGCATGATGCTTCCCTGTGTCTTAGCCTGTCAAATGTAGTAAGATTATATACCCTTTTTGTAGGGAGAGGAGAACAGGTCAACTCATAAAATACTAAAAAGACTCCTCCTTGGTTTTTAGGAAATCCTCCATGAGTGCTCCAGCCCGACAGAGGTGAGTGAAGCACTATATATATATATATATATGTTACACTGTTCTGTAAGAGCATGTCTTTGTTGCTGCTTGGCTGAAGCGCCAAGATGTTACTGTGCCTAACATGATGCTGCAGATTTGTTTAATTCCCAATGGGAGGTGTTTGCCACTTTATCCTGCTGTGTTAGAAAAATACATGTAAATCTACATAGATGAGCTGAAGGCAGACCAGTGGAGCAAATAAGGAATTACACTTTACAACCAAAGAAAGTTCATTCCATGTTTTGGACATCCTAAGCTGACCAGGCTGAGTTGCTATTTGCTCCTCAGCGTAGAAAAGCCATAGACAGTGATACAGCCCACATAACCATCTTGCACACTGTTAACTAAAGCATTCTTAGCTTAAACCACTCTAGTGTTATGAGTGACAAGAATGTAGGATGGCCCTCAGATTGGATTGGGCAGATAATTGTTGAGCAGTGGCCAAGTAAGTTAGTTTTACACGTGTTTTTTTTTCCCCATGTGAACTTTACAAGTACTGGTTTTGAGTTAAGAGAGTTAAAGAAATTCCACAAGCTGTCACAATGTCCAAAGGAGTGGAGCCCAATACTTTGCTGTGTAGCGCATGTACCACACAGCAATTGCCTTCACTGCACTGCATACCCGTGCAAAACGAGGTCTCCCATCACTGCTTCAGTCACATGCATTGTACGTGAGCGTTGTGCTTGGACATCATTCATCAGTCTCCACATCTTGTCGAGCCTATATAGCTGTACAGTGATGAACATACAGAAAATGAGGTGGATGGACAACTATCATTGAAATTAAACTCGGCTGTAGCAACCATTAGAGTCTCCTAGCAGGCGTTCAGCAGACAAGGCTGGCAATAGAGAAATAGTTTTCCGAGTGTCTGAATTTCAGATCTTAGGCAAGAACCCCACATTCCCAGAGATAACTGAAAAGAGTTTGCTCTTCTGATTCATGAGCCGTGAAAGTGTCTTGCAGACAGCATGGTACTTGCTAACTACAAATAGATACTGCTGCCCCTTTAGCAAAAATATGTACTTTCACCCTGGTGATCTTGAATCCAGTCCCCTTGAAAGATCACAGCTGCCTATTTGCAGAAAGCAGAGAGAGGAAACAATCTGGCTTCCTCTGAAGGGACTGACGGAAAAGGTATGTATGATCCTAGGCATTTACTTCCAGAGCATGCTGTGGCAGGCAACCTCTGATCACCCAAGTGAGGAAGCTGGGCTTCCACACAGCACAGATGGTAACAAGCTGCAATACTTCCAGTGACCTTGCCTAATTACAAGGACATGTAGCTATCTGTTTGGGTGAAGAAAGGCTGCACACTCCTGATGTTACTTGCCAAGCAGGGGGTAAAGTTTGCACTAGTCACATTGACTTCTGCTTGGAATAACCAGATGGTCCAGTTTAGTTCATAGTACTTGGCTGTGTCAGCAAAGTAGTCGAGGTTTATCTCCATTAACTGCTCATCTATCTGCTCTGCCTATCCTCAACCCCTGCTCCAGGTCATCATTAGTCCTACGTGTGTTTTGCTCCACCTCTTCTCTGCTGGCCACTTCCTTGTAGAATTGGCACAGCTCTGAGATGGTTTGCAATCCACAACATGGAGCTTTACAGGTTCAACAAGAGGGACAGCTTGCTTTGCCCTAGATTGGGAGGGCAGCAGAAGTGGGCAGGAGGTTATGGTGGCAACAGGAAGCAGTGGAACCTAACAGAGGACAACAGCATCCTGAGGTCATCTCAAGGTGGAAAAAGTAGGTAGCTGGGACGAAGAGGGGCAGGCTGGCTCCTGGGGAGAAAGTAAACAAGGCTGCTCCAGAGGGAGACAGGGGAAGGAAAGTAGAGGGGCTTTTAGACCCTTCTCATCCATCAAAAGGTCTCCTTTCCTAAGCTAAAAGATAGGTTTGCTCGATACATGTCAAAATTCTGGTTTCTGCTCAACATGAAGGCGAATGTGGGAATAACACAAGTGCCATAGTACTCTTTGGGCTGGTGAGCGCTGGAATTAACATGACAACCTTCTTCAACCAATTCTCATTGTAGGACTTCATTACGGAATTACTTAGTCGATTGAAAGGTCTCCGGAGACTCACCAATCCTCGGAAGAAATGACCTTGCCCACATGGAACACCCGGCTTTGGTCACATGGAAACGTGTCTCTTCCCCACAAAAACGAGGATCAGCAACATCACTTCAGAATATGTTTAGGACTTACTGTTATTGAGAAACATCACCAAGTTTGCAAACTTTGTACCAGTGGTTTGAAGTCTCCACTCCTTCCAGATCTACGCGCACAGCAGGGAGCTAGATTGTACATTTTCTTGATCCTTAAAGGGCATGTTAACCTGTGGAACAGGACAAAATGTCCTTCCTTTAGTTTCTTCTAGGAATTTCCATGCTGGCTGAGGAGCACTGAATACAATTCTCAGGAGCTCATCAAGACTTCTTTCTTTCCGTCCACTGCAAGGAAAACAAGGCATTGGTTATCACTCATTCATCAACATGGAAAACCAGTTACTGTTAAGCTGCACACTGTTTCAGTCTGGCTGGGACCCAGCTGTTACTGCTGTACCTGACCTACAGCATTGCACATACTTTGTAAGTCTTACTAAGCCCTGTTATTCATGAAGGTTGGACAGAAAATATACAGTAGGATGGAAGGAAAATGTTTGAGTGCACCTGGTCTACTTAAGGGGGAGTTAGCGAAACAGCTGCTAAGGCTAATGGAAGAGAGATTGCTTTTCCTTTTTGTGGAATTTAGGACTTAATGATCTAGAAGTGTCTTCTAAAGGAGCAAGGTCTGGGAATGATTTTTCTCATCATTTAAAAAGATGTTGGAAAAATGCTTATTTTGTATATTAAAACAGAAAAAAACAGCTGTGCCCTGCTTGCTTTTGCTCTCTTCTTAGACACTAAAGAAAAACTGAAGTGAAAAAACACCCGCTCCCAATTTCCCTGCAGGGAGCATCTTGGAGCAAGTCTTTTGCAGACAAGTAGGTCTCACAAATGAGAAGTGAGGTAGGACACGTTGTCTTGCTGCACAAACTCTGCTGGCTACAGCTAACGTATAGCTGGTAAAATACAGAGGAAACTACATCCAGCCTCTCAGCAAGTCAGTAACTTGACACGTGGCTAGGAAATAAGACAGCAAACGGAGGCTGATTGCTTAGGCAGAGTAGACTCTCACATTATATCCTGTGCCTACGCTCTCATGCCTGCCACGCAAACACAAGAGATGAGCTGCTGAGTCATATCCAGAGGGGCTCCTATTTAACAGTATGTTCAAGGCTAGCTTTTGAGTATGTGTTTTGTCAGACAGGGACAGAAGGGGCCAACTCTGGAACAAAAGGGACATGCAGGTTAGCTAACAAAGACAAACAAGAACTCTTGGGCTGGACCAGTAATATCTTAAATACATTAGTCTTTTCATCTTTATCAGTAACAGGGTGACGACTACTACCTTTTGCTTCCCTCCTGTTTTCCAGCAGAAGTGTCAGTGAACAAGCTGTGGGCTGTGCACATCTTTGAGAGGACAAAATCCAAGCTGCAGTAACAACTGTGATGTGAGGGCTTGCTTCCCTTCACATGCTGTTCTTGTATGCGACAGCCTCCTGGAAGTTAGCAAGCCATGCGGCTCATACCTTGTCCTAAGGCTGCTCCAAGAGGCTCTAAGCCTCACCCGCTAGGTTGGAGAAATAGCCTCTTTATCAGGTCCATATATATCTACAATAGCCCCAGGGACATGCCACTTTTGGCTTAGTAAGGGGCTAATAGACATGCCTGCCCTCCTGAAATCTCAAATTTGTAAGTAAAATAACAAAATCCAGAGCTGTGCTGGTTGTAGATCTGGCATTGCTCATGGATTGACAGCTGCTCACTCATGTATCACACCCCTCGAGAAAGCAGAGCAGCACACTGACAAAGAGCTCTGAGCACTGTTAAAAACACAGGCTAGGTTCAAACAGAAGTTCAGATGGAAGATCATAGAATCATAGAATCATTAAGGTTGGAAAAGACCTCTAAGATCATCGAGTCCAACGATCTAGGTGGACAGGCCATGAGCTGAGTGTCCTAAACTAGAGCTATAATTAGCTGCAGCACAGTAATGCATAGGAGTCCAGATTAATTACTTACCCTACCAGGAGGCTTTGTTTTATTCTGCTGAGCTGTGACAGCACAAAGACCCGAGATGCCTCTCCTCTGGCCCAAGACATAGATTTTTCTCCACCCTGGGCATTGTTCTGTATTCTCTCAATACGGAGTGATGCAAACAGAATTTTTGTCTGTGCTTTAAGGCAGATGTTGTTAGAACCCAGGAAAAACCTTCTAAAAGGTTCTAGAAACTCTGCGTGACAGAAGTTGTCTTTGGGCTTACTCTGCAAGTAGCAGAAAAAGAGTAAGCTGCAGCCCCTGTGATGTGCAGTTCGTTTTGATACATAAGGACATCAGTACCACATGAGAGTGCTTCAAATGAGCACAGTGTGATCATGGGGAACAAAGCCAGATGTGGCCAGGGCTAGATGATTTCTCAGCTCGCTGGTGCAAAAGAAAAAGCAACATAAGGCAATCAGAGCAGCTTCTTTTTGTTTAGTTCTTAAAACTAGTAAATCATACTTACTTTTATTTACTTTTTGGCTGTTCTCAGCCTAGACCATAAGGATAGATTAAATTCTCTCTCTCTTTTTTTTTTTTTTTTTTTTTACACAAACAGCTTCCAGTTAACTTTGCTGTTTCTCAGCACCATCACTAGCATTAAGGCTGTAATGTTTGGTATGCAGATACTGCGTAAGAATGTTTCGATAAAGGAACTTTGCCCTCTTGATTATACTAAGATAACTCAGAATGTATGAAAGTTCACATGCTTTTCTAATTGAAGGTTTATGAAGGTGTATAAACTAACCTTTAATGCAATTTTCCCTTAGTTATAATCAACACTTACATTGCCTTTAAAAATATTCTGGCTGCTACATTTGGACACATGACCATGTTACAGCACTTGAGACAACATGCATGCTCGTGAACCACAGCAAATGCAAGTTAATGCAGTTTAACTAAGCTAAGACCTCTCTTCGTAAGATAATCTGAGTTCAATCTTGGGTTATCATTATTTTTAATTCTTGTTGGGCTGGAGCCTACATTTGATAGTTCACATACAAAACATTTCGAGAGGGAAAGAAAATCTTCTTGTGCCCTCATGGCATGCTACAAAGACAGAAGCAAAGAAGCTGATTCTCTGTCTTGAAGGTACCAAGCTCTCTTCAATCCTTGAATGGCTATGACCGAAGTTGATCTGGCCTGTCAGGAACTGATTGTTTACATTATCTTTACTTGTTTACCAGCACCTTTTCAAAGACAACGACAGGGAGTAAGCAACACAGCTAAAAGTGCACTGCCCACTTAAAGGTCACACAGCATTCCTCTTTCACAATGACAGATTCAGCTAGGTTTGCCTCCTGCAGACAGGTGATCTAGATACCCCTTCTACCCCTCCTACATGGAGGTCACTGAGGCAACAGCTACAGTGGGAATGGCTTTTCAGGGGAAAGTGGTTGGGCTGCCACTGAAATGGCCAATTACATGCAGAAAGCTCAGCAGCCACAAAAACATCCATTAGTGGGGCAGGGAAAGCATCAGCATCTGTGCGTATCACTGAAGAGACTCTTCCATATATGACTAAGTTCTATTTCAGGTGTTGGGTTGGGTGCATTTCTGGATTCCTTGGGATGACCCCACAGAAACCAATCTGGGAAACTAAATAAACTGCTTCCGGCTGTAACCTGCTCCTTTACTAATGATGTGAACAGGGCAGGGCTTACAAGACACAGGCTGCCTAACTGCACAAAGAGCTCAAAGTTTGGTTGTGGCTGATGAAGCATGTTGCAAGTAGCGCACCAGCTCATACTAAGATATTTAAAAAAAAAAAAAGCAGCTGTAAAGCAAGAATTAAAATGTCTGCTAACTGCTTGGAAAGGACACAGGCTGAAACCCAAAGGAGTGGATCAGTCTTAGGAGAGATATAAGAACAGGTATTTGCATCTTCTCCTGTACGTGCAAAACACAAAGGATTTAACCTAAGACAGAATTGGGCTGTCTTGCTATCAGGCTAATTATCCAGGTCAAACAGCAATGAAAAAATGTCATTCCTACAATAACACTAAACCAGAACACCATTTTGTTTTCATTTTTAAGACTGCAAGCTCCTCAGGGCAGTAACTCTCTACTTAAATTTTGTGTAACACAAGACCCATTGAGAACTCTTGCATCAGAGCAACTCAAGTAGTTTTCCCAAAGAGAGGCACTGGTGAAGCAAGGACTGCCAGCAGAAAGAAGATCCTCCACAAGAGTCAGGTTTTGCCACCCCCTCTTAACAAAAGGGTTTTGATGGCACTGCGGGATAGACTTGCAATTTTTAGTGTGTTAACCTGCAGTATTACTATTCTACATTGTCTGATACAGGTTTCTGCTGAAGGGCCTGATCCAGTCCAGCATGTTAGCACAAACCCATCTTCAGCAGTATAATTTATTTGCTGTGCTCTGACCAGGGGTGGCTGAAGTGCAAGCAAACACTGTTTCGTCAGCTCACCTACAGAGGCAGTGACCTTAACCACAGGGGCAGGGCAGACAGCTGGGAGCGGCAGTGTCAAACCAGACAGGCAAGATTCATTGGAAACTCCCTGTCAAAGGCAAATCCTTGATTTTTTTGCCATTGGAATTTGTCAGCCTTAGAGAGCTGTCTTAGAAGTCACATTATAGTCCTGGGAAGAGCTCATCCTGATGGGATATTACAGCCAATTTAGGGCAAGTTTAGTCTGGTATTTGAAGCGATTCTGGGTGCTTTGGTCACTGGCAAGTGCCACTTGCATCTGGACTGTCTTCCAGGGAGGGATATGAGCATATTAAACTAAGCTTCTCTCATAACCAGATAAAGAGCATCACACAGGTAACATCTTTATCCTACCAGGGGACCAAATAATAAACAGTGCCAAACCCCACTTTCAGACTAATACAAAACTCTTCCAGACTAACATGCTGCTCTTACAGACCACATGGAACCTTGTCACAGCCACTGCAGATCACTGCTGTGCATCAGTAGCAGATTACCTTTACAAAGCATCCTTCATTTCAAGTACTTGAGCAACACTGCCCATCAAGGCAGAGTAGCCCCTGCACCTTTTCCAGCCACGCCACAGAAACATGTTGATTCATGATCCTTCATTTCTTTACCTAAGCCACCTGAGACTAGGACTAAGATACCATTACAAGAGGGCAACACTTTGTAAAGGGCTATCAGGCATTTCCAGGAGAGACATTAACCACAGGCCTTCGTAAATAGTTTTTATTATGCTTTGGAAGTTATCATCACACACGTGATCACGACGTAGACAGTTTTCTTAGTGCAAAGTGCTTTGCTGCCTGTTGAACCAGTGTGTAAGCTGTTAGCAAAAGCAGGAAGTCACTTATCAGCCAGTCAGTACTGCCTTAAACACATATCTTTACTGCTACCCACATTGCCTTGCTGTCTGCATTTATAGACTCATATCCACCTCCTCATATCAAGTCCTCATTTATCCCCAAGCATGCACAGCAAAACCTGCACTTCTCTGGTTCTATTTGTGAGGACAAAGTCACACACCCTCCAAGCCTCTCTCAGATTACAGCACATCCTTTAACTGTCCAAAACATCACCCGTTTTGGCTGCAAATCCACTTGGACTCTTCCCATGTGGCTGACTCCTCTCTTTTCCCATTCTCCATCTCCTTTTCTGCCCATGAAGAGTGTGAACACTTCTACTTGCAGGGAAGATGATAGCGGGAGGTGTGGTGGTCCTTCAGGTCAAACTCATCATGGCCTTCCCTG